GGGGGACAGGGGGGGGGGGTTGGGGAGTTCTGAGGGGGGCGAGTCAGGGGGTGGGGAAGTGGGGAGGGGAGTGGGCGGGGGGCGGGGGCGTAGAGCGGGGCGTCCTCCCCCCCCACGTGTCCTCTTTTTTGATTGTGGAAATATGGTAACCCTAGATCAGTCATCCTTTACTCGTGGAAGCGGAGAGAGTGATCTGACCCTATGTAGGTCTAAGGGCTTCTTTTATCCTGGATATTGCTGTTAAGAGGCTTGCACCTCTCGGAGTGTGAGTAATATAAGATGGTCATTTACTTTTTAATAGCATGTCATATTTTAAAGCCCTGTGTGAGAGAAGGCTGTATGCCTAGTAGGGTTGCTTATGAATGATGTCTGGGTGTTTGTTGTATTTCATAATGATACAGTTAGAATACATTTCCCTCTTATAAAATGTAAGGTAAAATATGGCAAACTACAGGATCAAAATAAAGCCTCACATCCCGGCTTGTTAGTACAATTTAAATCAATTGGTGACCTAATGATGGCAGCCAAATTGATTGTGATTTTGTTTCTTCTGGACCAGGCTAGCTAACGATTTAATACTTAAAGCTAATACCATGGTATATCAATTGAGTCAAACCATCTGTGGAACAGTACAGGAATTAGTTGCCTACTTGGTTACCATTGTGGAACCAGACTTCTGCCTTGGGGGACAGAGAATGTAAGAAAGAAAGAAAGCAAACAAAGGAAAACAGGGATTGGATCAGACCAGACCATAGTGCTTCTAACAGCCTATTCCATTTTGTGCATAAATCATTGTCTGTGGTATGTCTACACTGCAATTAGACACCCACGGCTGGCCCGTGCCAGCTCAGTCAGGGTCACAGGACTTGGGCTGCGAGGCTGTTTAATTGCAGTTTAGACATTAGGGCTTGGGCTGCAGCCTGAGCGCTGGGATCCTTCCACCTCGCAGGGTCCTACACCCTGTGCTCCAGCCCAAGCCCAGAAGTCTGCACTGCAATTAAACTGCCCCGCAGCTCAAGCCCCGTGAGCCCGAGTCATCTGGCATGGGCCAGCTGCAGGTTTTTAATTGCAGTGTAGACATACCCAATGTGGATACTATTACTAAGGCCTTGACTGCGTGGGAAAGTTGGTGGGTTTAAATTCACCTCTTAAACCTATTTTACTCCTCAGGGAATTCTGTGCCAAAAAATTAAGAATTCTGTGCACAATATTTTAAAATTCTGCAAATTTTATTTGCCAAATAAATGTGGAGGCTCCAGCATGGCATTGGGGAACATAGGCCACTGGCTGCACAGAGATTTGAGATCACTATGCAGCTCCCCCTTCCCCCGTCCCCCCGACATGGACTCAGTGGGGAGGCTGCACCCAATCCTGACACAGCGCAAGGACCAGGCCTGGCCCAGAAACATCCAAGGGCCCTGACCCTCCATGCCCTGTGCACCAGGTGTGGGCAGGCAGGCTCAGCAAGGCAGGATCCAAGTGTGCAGGGGCTTAGTGTCGGGGGATCCAGGTGTGAGTTGAGAGGGTTCTGTGAGGGGCAATCTGGGTGTTGGCAGCTCAGTGGGGGATCTGGGTGCGGGGGGATCTGGATGCACAGGGGCTTGTTGGCGGGAGGGGGGGGGGGTTCTGGGTGTAATGGTAATGGGACTCTGCAGGGAGGTCCAGGTGAAGGTGGTTGGAGCTCAGCAGGGTGTGTGTATGTGTGTGTGTGTCTGGATGTGGAGGGATAGAGCTCGGCAGGAGGGTCTGGGGGGCTTCAAGCGGGGTCTAGATGCTGGAGGAGTAGGGCTCAGTGGGGTAGGGATCCAGATGTGGCCGACTGGGGCTTGGTGGGGTGGGGATCTGAGTATAGGTGGCTCATTGGGGCAGTCCAGCTGCAGGGGGATTGGGGCTCATCAGAGGGTTTCTGAGAGTGTGTGTGTGTGTGTGTGAGGGGGTGAGGATCAGCAGGAGGGTCTGGGTATGAGAGGTTCTCGATGCACAAGGGTTGGGTGGATGGGGGAGCAGCTCCCTGTACAGGGATCCCTCCCCCTGCAGCTGAGGACCGATGGGTGCAGGAAGCAGGGGGCAGGAGAGGTGTTTGCAGAGCTTTCTGTAGCTGGGGTAGAAATCTAGGGGTTGGTCTGACCCAGGCCTAGATGCTGTGCAGGAGAAGAGGAAGTCCCATCCTCCCCAGCCCAGCCAGGATTAGCAGCTGAGCCTGGCACAGGGTAGGGAGCCGGGTCTTCCCCAGTCACGCCTCCTGCACCACAGTGATTTACCTCTCTGCTGGCTGCCGTGGGCACCTGAAACATACTGCTGTGGAGGGTTGCATGACTGCTCTTGTGGCTTCCCCTTGCTTCCCTGTCAGAAAGTCATTTTTCTCTGGGGAAGCAAAGAAATCTGCGGGGGATATAAATTCTTCACATTCACAGTGGCACAGAATTCCCACAGGAGTAATACTATTTAGTTGAACAAGTGCAAACCCATGTGGACATCCTTATTTTGGTTTGAGTGCCTTTTTTGGTTTACCTTGCATTCAGTGGGAACAAATGCAAGTTAAAGCCAAACTGAAATAAGACTGTTCACATGGAGGGTTGCACTTGTTTAAGAAAACCTGTTCTAATTAAACATAAGAAGTCCTAAAGCCTGAGAAAGGAGGAGGTGAAGAGTGGCCTTGTGGTTGAGATGCAGGATTGGGAATCAAAGAATTCTGGAGTTTATTCTCTGCTCCGCCATGGATATAACTGATTTACCCAAGGTCTCACAATAACTTCTGTACCTCGGTATCATAGACCATAGTTGTAGTGAAGCTTTGTCTACTGATGTTTGTAAGGTTCTCAGTCACTATTGTGCTGATCATCACAGACATGTCTAAAAGTAAAAAAAATAAGATGTTTTGCTTATAGTGGCAGTCTCTTAACAACATATTTCTTTATTTTCAGCTGTTCTAAGAGCTTGCGCTGATGGAGGTGCTAATCGCCTGTATCATATCACAGAAGGAAATCGTGAGAGGTACATTAATAATAATATTTTCTAATACTTTACCTTTAATCTTGAGTGAGTGCATCAATGGGCCTGCACTTTCTGTCTGCACATTCTTTCTCTAATCCCTCTCCTTTATTCTGATCAATATATTTTCATTAGACTCACCATCATTTTAACTGAAGTAGAGTGTAAACATACAGCATCTGCACAGTAAAGGAAGTAGCCCCCCAGTCCCCTAAAATTGTAATTTAACAGACTAGTGATACCCAGTGGAAATGAACAAAAGCTGAACACCTGTAAATGAAATACATAATTGACTGATTTTTTTTTCTGGGGGGACATTTACAGCATTACCAAGAAAAGACCAGTATAATTTATTTTTCGGTAATTACTTATGAGTTCTGAGCATTTTACTGTCTCAAGAGATGATTGGTACATCCCTTAACAAGTTGCCAGGCTCTTTCTTTCCTCCTTAAATCTTCATATGATGAAACATTAGCCAACACGCTTAGGACGCAAGAGGGGAGTGTGGTTGAGGGTGGGGAGAGTTAAAGAGGACTGTTTATAAGTAATTGATTTGTTATTTCTTACTAACCTTGTAGTGATACTTGTATTCTGTATACTTGTATTAAGTAAGGGATCCACTAGTCTTATCCACCACATCCTCTCATTTACATACAAATATTCAGTATACAATTATGTAATGATTTGTATAGAAGAGGTACTGGATAGCAATATTTCCTGGTGTATTTAGTGATTTTACCAGCTCTGCCTTATATTACAACATTTAGAAATGTGAAACAGCCTAAAACATTTCTTTTTTTTTATTGTAAGCCTAGTCCTCTTATCCTTTGACATCTTTACTTTGTACTATGGTCCTGTCACTCCTCATATGCTCAGCAGAGTTGGGCATGAGGAGCAACCTTGCAAATCCCATCCACTGGTGGGTTCCTAGTGAAGGAGCTTCTGCAATGTCCTAAGAAAGGTTCAATGATGCCTCTAAGGAAAATGTAGGTGCTTGTAGGAGATGATATTGGAGATAAAGTAAGTATCACTCTTCCTCCTAGGTCACTTTTGGGCCAATGCTGCAGCTTCATACATGACCAAACCCGAATACAAATGTCACAATGTCCAGAAAAGAAAAGGCTGTGACTGATGGAAAGGATGTGACTGATGGAGCATAATCCTGAGGTTCCTTCCTTTTCTTCCAGCAGATTTCTCTCCCATGTCTGTTTGCAAAGAAGGTTGTGTCACAGTGCATTGCATCAAAATGGTGTCATATTTTGGAAGTAAAATAATGGAAGACAAGACAACTGGATTCAGAGTCTTGTCAATGTTAAAAGATGTGCACTCTTTTGAAGCCTGCTCTGGATCAACTGAGTGTGTTTTTAGTCTGTTTGGATCGGTTTGGTCAAAGCTTCATGAATGGATAAGGACAATAAACCAAGTAAGTAAGTAAAGCTATATTTAAGGGCAGATATGAAAGGGTGATAGGCCTAACTAGCTGGTAGACAGGGGGATTCACTCCTGAGTCTTGTGTTTTCTTTACAGAATTGCAAGCTTACTAGTTTGCAAAGTGAATCCCATAGCATGAATTTTGTGTTTCAATTATTTAAAACTTCATGAGATTCCCACCCCCCTTTCCTTATCAGCTCCAAATAAAGGTGCAGTGTGTGGTGTGTTGTTTTGGTGGGTTTTTTGCCTCTTTGCCAAGTTGAAAAAAATCACAACGCAACCTGTACGTGGCATCCGTGGGGAACATGATGCCTAAGATCAGTGATCGCAATGACTGTGATGGAGGCTGGCCACTGCCTAGTGTTCCAAGAATGAAGGAGTCTCCTTTACTTTCTGTATTCCCCTTCCCCTCTTCCCCAGTGCAGTAGCAGACACAACCTGACCCTTAATGTGAACTAGAACCTGTTTGACACAAAGCAAGCAGTTTTGGTTGATAAAAAACATGATATGTTTTGCAGATAGAGACAAAATGAGCTGTGAAATATGAACAACAATATTCTAGAACTCTCATCTTACCTCATTCCATAGCCCATTCATCTCTCCTGCACATATTTCATTCATTTAATATAAATGCAATTCAGGAAAAATAGCTGATTGTACCTTGACTGAATAGTTTCATATACTCTCTACAAACTTGGCCCTTGGAGTGTTCTTCTTTGGGGAGGTAAATTATACCATCAAAGTCAACCTTTAAAAATTAAATCCAGCAGGGTTTTATATTTTCCTTTAAAGAAACTAAGTCTGCTGGAAAGAATATTCATTTACTTTTCTAAAATATTTTTTCTTGAAATTCCCTGTCCAACATTATTAAAGAACTGTCTGTTCAGAGACTACTGACATGTTAATTATTTTTTTAATGCAGGCATAGTCTTCTATTTTATTAATTCACAGCTTTGGTAGTTAATAGTATTGTATCAAAAACTAAAAGCCACAGTATGTTAATTATAAATTAATTATAGTGTTAAGGCAGGGGTGGGCAAACTTTTTGACCTGAGGGCCATATCTGGGTGGGAAAATTGCATGCAGGACCGGGGCAGGGGATTGGGGTGCGGGAGGGGATGCGGTGTACAGGAAGGGGCTCAGGGCAAGGGATTGGGGCAGAGGAGGGGTGTATGAGGGGGCTCAGGGAAGCGGGTTGGGGTGCAGCAGGGGTGCAGAGTTCAGGAGGGGGCTCAGGGCAGGGGTGCAGGGAGGATTGTGGAGTGCGGCAGGGGCTCAGGGCAGGGGGATGGGGGTGCAGGAGGGCTCCGGGGTGTGGCAGGGGGCTCAGGGCAGGGAGTTGGGGTGCAGGGTGCAGGAAGGGTTCGGGCTCTGGCCCGGCACCGTTTACCTGGAGCAGCTTCGGGTTGGCAGCAGCGCACACCGAGGCCAGGGCAGGCTTCCTGCCTGCTTGTCCTGGCCATGTGCCACGCCGCTCCTGGAAGCGGCCGGCACCACGTCCCCTGGAGGAGGGGGGGCAGAGGGCTCCACGCACTGCTCTTGCCGCGTCTCCAGGTTCCCCGTTCCCGGCCAATGGGAGTGCGGGGGGGCAGTGCCTGGAGGCAAGGACAGTGCACGGAGCCCTCTGACCCCCCAACAGGAGCTGCAGGGACATGGTGCCGGCAGCTTCTGGGAGCGGTGCGGGGCCCGCTGCGCCACCAGGGTGGCAATCCTGCGGGCCGGATCCAAAGCCCTGAGGGGCCGGATTTGCCCACCCCTGTTAAGGTATACTACTAAAAAGACTAGACTGAGACTTTGGGTCTGATTCTCATTCACACAAAGGGCGCTTTACTATTGTCCTGGTATCAAGTGGAGCAGGTGCTTTTACTTCGCCTTAGCAAGCTGGAGATCCATGACCAGCTGCTCTCTGAGGCACTTTAGATCCCCACTTCATGCTCCGTTGACTCCAGATGCTTGGTTAGGTCGTCAACATTTAGGAGGGACTTGTAGAACTGTTCTGCTCTACCTTTTTCCTTTGGGGGGACCCTGTCTGAGCCCCTATGCTAATCTGTTCACTGTGAGGTCCAGCTTGGGTTCCCATTGTAACTGGCTGACCTTGAAAATCTGTCTGCGTCCCAACTGTATCCCGCTGCTCCTGGGATTCTGTCTGGATCCCCAGACTATCCTTCTGCACTTGGGGCAGCCTTTTGCTATCCTTCCTCTGGTTCCCAGTCCCTCTGCTTCCTTACGTAGTCGGTCCTGGACTCTCCCCATCCTAGGCCACCGTCCTGCACTCTGCACCTGGGTGAAACCCACCCAGTCTCTTTTGACTGTCCCAGTCTTGCCTCAACCTGGGATATCTTTCTTTTCCATTGTTGCCCCTCCTTTCTCTGAGAGGGCAATATCTCTTTAAATGCCCTGCCATCCTGCAGGCAAGACATACCACTTCTTCCCTTGCTTTGGCCATGGGCTGCGTATCTCTTGGGACCTTTACAATAGCCCTACTGTTCTGCTGCCCAGAGACACCCTTGCCTGGTTCCCCTGTCAGCTCTGGGGCACATACCCCTAAATCATAGGGATTTGTGCCTGGAGTCCCCTTTTCATCTGGCCTATCCTTCAGGCCCTTGCCTTTCCCCTTGCAATGAGCCGAACTCTTTAAAGGGCAAAATCTTTTTATGTGGCCCATCTCTCCATTATAAAAGCAGTTAAACCTTCCCATTCTTCCCTGGTTCCTGCCAGGGTAGGCCCTTCTTAAATGTCTCAACTGTCCCCACCCATAGCATCTCCATGGCTGGGCTTCAGGCCTCTCGCCTGCTAAACTCCCTACATTACAAGGTGTCATGTGGCTCAAGCATCTCTCTATCTGCTTCTGCTTCTTGGAATGGATCTCACGCCAACACTGTTGTGTCTCAAACTGGGTCTCCTGTTGCCTCTGCTGGCTCTCTATCAGCTACATCAGCAGGGACTGCTGCTTCTGCATTTCAGTTACCTGCTGCTGTTGGCCTGCCACCAACAGGCAGATTACCTCCTCCATAGACATGTCCCTTGTTAATTGGGGTTGGGCTGAACAATCCCACTTCTAGTACCAAATGTAATGGGATCAGCACCCACCTCTTGTGAGTGCCCCCTCTGGTTGGGTGTGTCAGGGTTCCCTCCCCACTCTGAACTCTGGGGTACAGATGTGGGGACCCGCATGAAAGACCCCCTAAGCTTATATTCCACCAGTTTAGGTTAAAAACTTCCCCAAGGCACAAATTCCTTTCCTTGTCCTTGGATGGTATTGCTACCACCACCAAGTGATTTAAACAAACATTCAGGGAGGGGCCACTTGGAGCCCTATGTCCCCCAAAATATCCCCCAAAGTTCCTTCACCCCCTTTCCTGGGGAGGCTTGAGAATAATATACCAACTAATAGGTAACAAAATGAGCACAGACCAAATCCCTGGTTTTTAGGACACTGAAAATCAATCAGGTTCTTAAAAGAAGAATTTTATTTAAAAAAAAAAAGTAAAAGAATCACACCTGCAAATTCAGGATGGAAGATAACTTTACAGGGTAAATAAAAAGATTTAAAACACAGAGGATTCCCTCTG